GTCGTGTTTGGAGGAAAAAGAAGGATGAGTTGCATCCCAAGAACACCATCGCTACTGTGAAGCATGGCGGTGGTAACGTCATGCTTTGGGGGTGCTTTTCTGTGAAGGGGACAGGACGTCTGCACTGTATTAAGGAGAGGATGAATGGGGCCATTTATTGTGAGATTTTGAGCAACAACCTCCTTCCCTCAGTCAGAGCATTGAAGATGGGTCGTGGCTGGGTCTTCCAACATGACAACGACCTGAAGCACACAGCCAGGATAACCAAGGAGTGGCTCCGTAAGAAGCATATCAAAATTCTGGAGTGGCCTAGCCAGTCTCCAGACCTCAATCCAATAGAACATCTTTGGAGGGAGCTTAAACTCCGCGTTGCTCAGCGACAGCCCCGAAACCTGACAGATCTAGAGGAGATCTGTGTGGAGGAGTGGGCCAAAATCCCTGTTGCAGTGTGTGCAAACCTGGTCAAGAACTACAGGAAACGTTTGACCTCTGTAATTGCAAACAAAGGTTTCTGTACCAAATATTAACACTGATTTTCTCAGGTGTTCAAATACTTATGTTCAGCAGTGCTAGACAAATAAATTCTTTAAAAATCATACAATGTGATTTCCTGAATTTTTTTTTTAATTCTGTCTCTCAGAGTGGGAATGGACCTACAATGTGAATTTCAGACCCCTCTATGATTTCTAAGTGGGAGAACTTGCAAAATCGCAGGGTGTTCAAATACTTCTGTTCCTCACTGTATGGCAAAATGGTGTGAAATACTGTTTTATTTGGTTATTGCATGTTCTAGTAATGCCTAAGAGTAATACTTGTCAGGTAATGTCAAACACATCCATACTGACAGCCAAGCCTTTCGGTCCGGGCAGGCCCATCGGTCCAGCTGAACCTCTGCTTCCAACAGAACCAGCTGGGCCTGGTTTTCCATCTTCTCCTGGTGAACCCTGGACAGACAGAATAAAAAAGTTGCTCACACCATGAACTCTAGGTTTGGGGAAACAATGACTTCTTCTGTAGTTGTTCTGGTAAGTAAAGAAACTTTAATGAGTGGTGAAAAGAAAAGGTTTTGCGTACCACTGGTCCTGGATTTCCCTCTGCTCCCTGTGCACCCAGGAGTCCTGTCAGGCCCTGTGAAAGACAAACCAAAATAAGCTACACAGTTACAACCTTAGACAATGGTCTCTGAAGTTGAACCTTCTTCTCACACATACAGTGGTTTCAGAAAGTAATCAGGCTCTTCACTTTTTGGATATTTTATCGCATATATGGCTTGAGAAATTTGCAGGTGTGAAGCTGCTCTAACTGCCGGTCTAGATACATCTATAACTGAGCAAAAAGTAACCAACCCTGTGCAATGGTTCAACTGTGTTTCATTAACTTCAGAGTTATGTATGAGAGCATGAGATATTTTTCTGTTTTACCCGAGCTCCTGTTAAACCTGGCTCTCCATCACGTCCTGGATCTCCAGATAAACCTTTGGTGCCTGCCGATCCTGGCAGCCCTCTTTCACCCTGTGCTCCCTGCTCAGCCAGACATTAAATATTCAGAACCCAAAAAACTGATGTGATGAAGATGGTCCTGAAAATATTTAGTTTTCTGATGTTTGTATTTTGATGAGAAGTCGACGCACCTTTTGACCCGGTAAACCATCTGCACCAGGGAATCCTCGATTACCTGGAGCACCCTAGAATGCATTGATACAAAAAGAATTCTTTTTATTTTAGGTTCAAGGGCTTCAATATATGAGAGAAAATACCTTTTTAGAATATTTGATATCTGTCCTGTCTTCAAAGTGAAGTTTTTAGTTTGAGTTTTCAGTTTCACAGCAGTTTTTTTTTTTTCATATGACAGTAAATTCTATTTGTCAATTCTAAACTGGCAGGATCCCAGCAAACGTCACACTTCACAGCTTTTTGAGATGAAATAAGAGCTGCCTCACTGTCTCTCCTGGAGATCCTGGAGGCCCAATGGATCCAGCATCACCTCGTGGCCCACGCTTACCATCCTCTCCCACTGGGCCTAATGGACCCTGAGCACCATGGTCACCCTAACATAATACAGAAATCAAAGATTAGGGATCGATCTCCTAAGATACACAGAATCCAAAATAACATTCAAAAGAAACTTTTATCATCTTTAGAACTTACTCTTTCTCCCTTGAATCCAGCTTCTCCTTTGACTCCAGGCACTCCAACCTCACCCTGTATAAGAACATCGGGAGAATTCATAAGCTGTAAATATATTTAAAATGAGCACATGGAAATTCAGGGGAAAAAACATACTGCAAGACTATTAAGTTATTCATCAAAAAAAATCTGATGAAATGAAAACTCATACCACTTGACCCTTTGGTCCTGATGCTCCTGTAACTCCCTGAGGGCCAGGGGGACCAGGTGGTCCCAGCAAACCCGCTGGACCCTGAACACCTGCTAGGCCCTGGGAAGGAGGGAGAGTAATCAGATTTAAAGTGATACTATGAAGGAGAAAAGTGCCTCATTATAACTAAAGGTCACAGATCTCCACACAAAACAGGTTGTTGGTTGGCTCTGTGTGCTTACAACAACCACTTAAAAGCCATAATTTATGCAGATGCCTTACTGTTTGACCACGGGCACCAGGAGCTCCATCAGGTCCTTCTGCACCCTGTTAAAACCAAAATGTTATCTAATAATTAATGTTAATCCCAAACATTAAAATCTTCTTAGACAGTGCAGGCATTTTCTCAATTTTCAAAGAAATACCTACAAAAAACTAAGACAAATTGATGAATTCTAACACACCTGTTGTCCTGTGGGGCCAGGTGGTCCAACATGACCGGCATCCCCCCTGGGTCCCTGCAGCCCTGGACCTCCTCTCACCCCTGTTGGTCCTGCTTCGCCCTGTAGCAGAGGACCGATTCAGTTCAAATTCCAGAATCATTTATCGCAGTGATCTCCAGAATGTGAGAAGCTGTTCATTGCAATTCAAGACTCAAGCTTTAACAGTAAACGAATTAAGGCCAATATTATGCCAAATGTCTTTCCTTGAATTTACTACCAGAATTACTGCACATGACACCAAGCTGGAAACAATCTCACCTTCATTCCTGGGCTACCAGGAAATCCTGGCACACCAGGGATTCCTATCGGACCCTGCAGGTGAAGAAAATGTTGTTTAATATTCAAGGCAATTATTCATGTTTGGCTCCAGGTTTACAGTTTATGTTAAGTTTATATTTTGGGTATTATCTCTACAGTCAACTTCCCAGAGGCCTAGGTTTCCTATGGAGGAAAGCAAAAGCAAAAGTTACTAAGCAAAGGCAAGACTTTCATTATGATGTTGTCTTGATGTCTAAAGTGCCTGTTGAACTGACCTCTAGAAGACATAATATTATAGGATCTAGAAGGCTGTTATTTTACATTTAACACTTTTAGACTGCTCTTAGCCTTTTTGTTTCATTCTACCTTCACTCCATGTAGTGATTAAAGTGGAAACAACACTCAACAACACTCAACAGGTTAGGCACATTCATATAAATTCTTACCAGAGGGCCTGGTTTGCCAACATCGCCAGGTGTACCACGCTTTCCCTGACAAAGAAAGAAACTAAAAATGCCTTAATCCTAAAAGACCATTTGAATAAAAAAAAAAAATCATTTAAAGTCAGATGATTGTATTAATTTTTTATTACCACAGAGCCAGTTGGTCCAGCTCTACCTCTTTCTCCCTGCAAGCCTGCTGGCCCCTGAAACAGAGGATATCCTCAGTATCTGTTTAAATGACATGACTTGGCAATACACCCTGGGGATGTGTTTACTGTGTGCATTACCTACCAGCGGGCCTGGAGCACCCAGTGCACCAGGAGTACCAGATTTACCCTTAAAAAAAAAAAAAGTTCTGTTAGAATAAACATCATAGAAAAACTGGTTTCACCAGTTATTAAATCCAAAGGTTCACTTCCTTTTCCCAACAGGACTGTGAATGTTTAACTGTGTTTGTCTATGTGACTTACTGTAGATGAGGATTAGATGACATTTTGTGACAAATTAATGCAGAAAACCAGGTCATTTCATAGAGTTCACATATTCCTTCTTGCCATTGTATCGTTCTATAGGACTGTTTCTAAACTGGAACAGTAAAAGGTTGATTCACAACTGAGGTTCTGCAGAGGAGTCCTTTGAAGCCCTGACAATGGTACATGTTTATTCATTTTTATTTTCAAATAGAACTCTTAAGTTTAAGTGAAGCTGCAACTGTCTTAATTATAAGAGGAATCACCACAAGCTCAGGTGACATGCACTATTCATACCTTTGATCCAACTGCTCCAGGCTCGCCTCTTTGCCCAATGACACCAGCATGTCCCTGTTTTGGGGATTTAAATGGACAAACTGGTCAATTCTTAAAGTTTCACAGAGGCAATGAGGACTCAGTAATGTAGCTTGTATGACTTACCTTGTGACCTTTCAGTCCTGGAAGACCTGGAAGTCCTGGGAATCCTCTTGCACCCTGCATTTAAGGATAAGGATAATCACCTTTATTGGCCAAAACAAAGACATACATCAGTATGAATTCCAACCCTTTGCACCACTTATTCTTGTGTTTTCTGTCCATTTAGCTCCTGTCAGCTAGTTCAGTTTTGCTGTGCTATGATTATAAAAACCTCTGAGTTGCACTTGTCATCTCTTTATATGAATGCCTCAGTACATAATCTTTCCCCTTCTACTCTGTTTTACTGCAGTTTCTGTGAATATCTGCACTTGCAGGAGCCTAAGATAAAACTAATATGTAAATGATTAGGGATCACCAAAGATGTATTACATTTGACATTATCTGAGGAATGGTGTGCATGTGGAAATATGTACATTCCTTTGATTAATCAGGATGTGTTTGTATCACTGTTACATTTCAGCCCTTTTAGATTTGGTATGAGGATGTTTGGTTACCACAGATCCCGGAAATCCTGGCTCTCCTGTAGCCCCTGCAGGTCCAGGTTCTCCCTGAACACAGTAACAGTACACATTATAAATCATTCCTGTTAAATAATATATGATAATACTACAAGTTACTAATAATGATGCTAAGTCATTTACAGCAGCAAAAATAAGAAGAAATATCAAAAACAGCCACCTCCAACACTATACCTTCCAGTTACCATTCTGTTAAAACTGATAATACAACAACAATAATAACAGGAAACTACTTCTACTCTGGTGAGCAATCAAAGAAACCAAATGCTATATGATATTCAATGGAACTGTGTGTATATAAGCTGGACTCACATCAGGTCCAGGTTTTCCTGGTGGCCCGTCTGGTCCTCGATGACCTGGCTCACCCTGTAGACAAGGAACAGCATATGTTAAATTTAGCTCAGCTCTGAAATCACAGATTTCAATGCAAGGTTAAAAGTGCTACCAGGCTTGTCTGTGGCTCCCTGTGGATACTTGATGTGGATTTATTCAGCAACTGAATGTTTAAACTTGAAAAGCAAAAATATGCTTACCACTGATCCTGGTTCTCCAGCATCTCCTGGAATTCCCTGACCACCACTTGGACCCTGGATTAGAATGGAGATATTATTTTAAGGTTATGTTTTTAAAAATGTACCATTTGTCTGGGTCTTTGGTTAGTTCATAAGAATGAGCAACTGCCATCGATAAAAACTTGTAATATTATTTTTTAAGTTTCTAAATATTGTATGTCCATTTTTTTTCCAAAAAGCACATTTCATTTGAGAGTGATTTAAGAAATCAAAAATTTGCAATGTTCCTACATCACTTGTCTTCTCATGTTTATAACAACAGGGTAAAATAAAATAAAAAATCAAAACGTACTTGTGGTCCAGTCGGCCCTGGGGGGCCTCGTGGTCCTGCTTCACCCTGAAATAGCAATATTACATGCACTGTAGTTTAAACTGTACATTACAGGAATCTTTCTCACACTGTGCAATTGTAAAATATGTCATGTATAATAGCTTTTTCTTAAACATTTGTGTAGCACTTGCCCGTGATCCTGATAGCATTGCAGCCATACCAGCCTTCTCACTGAAACCTGAAGCCATCTGTGACACTAGGTTGCCCTTTGAGAAGAGACTTTTTATTTAAATAAATGATCACAAATATCACTGAGGAGCTTTTAATCTTCTGTTAAATGTGTGTATTCCTACTGCAGTGATGAGACCCTGACTATAAAAAACTCTCACCCCAGGGGGGGAAGGATGGCCTGGTGGTCCTGGTTCCCCTGGATTTCCTGGCACACCGGGCTCTCCATCAAATCCTGGAGGCCCTTGGAATCCCTGCAGGTTGTGAGGAAACATAAATGAGAGACAACACCTTGTTCTCTTCACTCACTGATGAAGTGGACAACGTATTTTCCTAAACTAAATCCCATCAGTTCATTAGCTTTATCAGCATTCTTTCAGACTCACCCGTCTGCCTTTAAAGCCTCTTGGTCCAGTGTGTCCCTGAGTTCCTGGAGGACCCTGAACCATAAAAACAAGTAAGGATAAACAGTGAAATAATATATAATCAGGCCTGATTTTCTCTACTGTCATTGTCTACAGTTGATGTTCAAAATATACTCATGATAAACTAATAAAATTTCTATATAGGCCCGTTTGCATAAGAACTATTAGACTATTATTGATAAACCATTCAAATTACGAGTTGAGTTAATAAGCGACTATCCAGCTCTATAAAAATGAAAACAACAATGACATTTTGGTGCCCTCTGGTGTTAAAATTAGTGCATGCAAAGCAGAGTCTTAATACTGTCATCCATTCTGATTGATTTCTGTCCCTAATTACACACAGTGACATACAGTATGTCAAAGTAAACAGAAAACCAATATAATGAGTAAAAGCAGTAAAAACCCACCAAGGGTCCAGGAGGTCCAGGGACTCCCACCACCTGACAATATAAAATCACTGTTATACATCTGTTTATATAAAGCCTGTATATTGACATCTGCATGCACACTATCTATTTCATAAGCCTACTTACATATGGGATGTCTCCTGGTTCTCCTTTCTGTCCCTATGGAGGAAAAAAGTTTCAATTTAAAGAGCATGGAAGTTTTTTAAAAATTAGTTAAATACAAATCATGTTAGAATTAATCATAACTTACCTTGAAGCCCATAATTTCTTTGAGAAGTGAGAAAGGAAGAAAGTTGATTACATTACTTCAACTTAATTCTGCACAGTGATGTAATATCTCAAACATTTATGTAATTTCATACGTTTATATGGCTCTTATTTGCATGTATCTTTTACCATGAATGCTATTACAAACAGCTATTGAACTCAGGAATTAAATGGAAAACTGTAAACATTATAGAGTAACTTAACTCCCCCTGAAAATCATACTTTTCCTCACTTACAATAGGTCATCTAACCTTGTGCAAATTAAAATTGTGCCCAATAATAAGAACACTAACACTAATAAGAACAAACTTCCTTAGATTCAAAATTTGGAAATCTGCCTCACCAATCATCCTACTGGCACCGGCGAAGCTGTCACACACAGGGCAGCACTCTCCCTCAGGTGTGATGGCCTTCTCACAGTTTGACAGCGGCCGACACTGCACCTCATCGCAGATGGTGACACCATTGTCACAGACACAAACTCGACAAGGTTCAGGTTTCCAGATGTCGTTGTGATGGTGGAGCTCCCCATTGACTGTGTGGCATTCCCCTTTCTTCTCTTCTGTATCTGTAACAGAGAACACAAGCAGAGTGACCTAAGCTCTCAACAAAAGAGAAGAAATTAACATTTACAGTACCTGTTGTGGGGTCTGTGCTGGGAGCTGACACTGAAGCTGCAGTCAAGCACACAGGGCAACACTGGCCCTCTGGGGTCTCAGACTTCTGGCAGTTGCCAAGGCCCTCACATACCACATCTTCACACACAGCGGTCCCCATATTACACACGCAGATCCGACATGGCTCTGGGTTCCACATATCATTGTTGGCATACACCTTTCCATTTTCTGTGCAGGTATCTTTGTGAAACAAAAATGGAATTAGTGGCTTATCAGAAATACATAATGAAAATAGTTCACTTGAGTTGTTGCAAGTGGGGGAAAACTGCCAGGAGGTTCTGCTTCACCCACTGAGAAACTCTGCAACAGTGTAGAAAGTGGCCTTCAAGAGACATTCAAGCATGTGGGAACTGTTCCTGAAACTCCACATACACATATTTTACTGACAGTGTGAGTGGAAAACCTCCATAATGGTGTGTTTTACCAACAGAAAGGGAACTGAAGGTGTTGAAAAATGCCAGTAGGAGGGGATGAAGGTACAGCAGCAGTATTGTGTATTTATTTTCTTTAGAGTCTGAATTGTGAGGTAGTGCTTCAGGGGCAACACTCGCCTTCTGCTGTTATAGTCAGTTCCTTACACACCCACTACAGTGTTTATGCCACACACACAAACTTGACATGGCTCTGGGCTCTGTGTCTGATAGTTGGAGAAGACCTTCCTGTTTCCTGTAAAGCAGTCTGAGTCGAGCAGAGCAGCAGTAAAAATCTGGAGCTGAGCGCTCTTCGTGTTCTTGCAAGTACACTTCAGCCCTGCAGTTTGCCTACCAGGCAAACAAACCAGTGGACGATGCAGTCAACATGGCACTGCATTACATTCTGCAACACCTCAACTCCCCAGGGACCTATGCATGGGTCGTCTTTGTGGACAGCTCAGCGTTCAACACCATCATCCCGGACATCCCACTGGTCAGTGGATCACCCTCCATGGAGAACCTGTACACTTCACGGGTCAAAAGGAGGGCAGAGAAGATTTATGCAGATGCCTCACACCCTGGGCATAAACTGTTTGCACTCCTCCCCTCTGGACAGCACTACAGGTCACTGTGCGCCAAGACATCCAGGCACAAGGACAGTTTCTTCCCCTAGGCCATAACATTGATGAACACTTAAAGCATGACGGTGTAACAGAACGACAACCTTCAGGGCAATACATTGAAAATATACCTTTGTATATATCTGTCTTAAAACAAAACTGTGTGTATATACACACATATTTTACAAGTACTATATTTTTACTTTTATTGCCATTTTTCGTATTTCCATCTTCTTTTTCTTTTCTTGTTCTCGCTGTCTCATTTTCTCGTTGCCTTATTGAAGATCATTGTACATATACATTTCTCATGTGTTGGCCTGGCCAGTAACGCTGATTCTGATTCTGATTTACCGATGCTGACAACACACTGAATCCAAAGGAAAATATGCTATAGTACATTTAACATCATATTTAAAGATAAAACTTTGAAAACCAAACTGACATCATTAACTAATCCCCCAGAAATAAACACACGCAAACATCCAAATATCACAACGTCCACTGAAGACAGTTGTAATGGGCATTATTTAATGCTGCAATTAATTCAACCAAAAAATTGTCTTTCTATTCTAAAGTATGCTCACTGCACAACTGTAGTTATGTCAGGATACCCTGAGTAAACAGACAGAGGGGAAACAGACCAACCACAGACAAGCAGAGTGAGGTGGGTCTGTATTGATCCATTTTCTATGTTTGCAAAATGGCTTTAGTTTATAGGAAATATGGTTACTGTGATGTTCTGCTAAAACAGCTGAAGATACTGTTATAGTCTACAGACTATAACTAACTTCTCATAAAATACAGGTAGCATGTTAGACTGTTGACATAAATGATAGTAATCCCTTGTCTAAATGTAGACAGTTTGTATTGACCACATCTCGAAGTGTCCTTAGCCAAGACACCGAACCCTCAAGTCGCCCTCGATGGTTAAAGCCATCGGTTGAGTTGGCGCCGCACATGGCTGCCTCGGTTCTGTACCGGAGACAAATTCCTTGTGTGTAACATACTTGGCCAAATAAAGGTGGTTATCCTGATTCATTTGACCAATCAAGACTAAGAATATGTAACAGGATGAAGCAGCACAGAGACCAGCAGCAGAGGAATCGCTGTTCTCTTGAAGGCTTTAAGTGTTAATACATTTTGAAAAGACCTTTCTCTTGTCTATGAGTTGTGATTGCATACATTTCCACCACAGTGGCACGATGTACTTTTAGCCTTTGGCCAGCAGGCTGCACCCACTACTCAGTAACCACTACAATCAATATCAGAGTACATACTCAATGGAGATCTGCTGTCTGGATCAAACAACTTTTAAGCTTCTACTGTTTTTTCCCACCATGCAAGGGTTAATCATTTCCCCTAGGGAAATAGGTACTACACTGTATGCACAATTATTAGGCAAGTTGTATTTTTGAGGATTAATTTTGTTATTGCACAACTACAGTGCTCTTGGTCAATCCAAAATGTTAACAAACCCTCAAACCTGAACATTTAAGTAGTAAAAGTGAAATTTTGGCTTTCTTAAGAGAATATCTACATGTACACCATTATTAGGCAACTATTAGTGTGCAGAATTATCATGCAACTAAATAAAAAACAAAGATTTTCCCATCTCACTTATTTATTTTCACCTGTTAAAGTGAGAATAATAAACAAACTCATAATTTACAAATAAACAGTTCTGAAATTCCAAACAGAAAACCTCAGTGACCAATATAGCCACCCTTTTTTTTGATAACAGTCACAAGCCTTTCATTCACAGAGTCAGTCAGTTTTTTGATCTGGTCAGAATCAACTTTTTGTGCAGCCGCAACCACAGCCTCCCAGAGTCTGTTCAGAGTTGTGTACTGTTTACCTTCACTGTAAATTTCCTGCTTAAGAAGGGCCCAAAGGTTCTCAATAGGGTTCAAGTCAGGTGAAGAAGGGGGCCATGTCATTAGTTTTTCATCTTTAAGGCCTTTACTGGCCAGCCACACAGTGGAGTACTTTGATGCATGTGATGTACTTTGATGTATGTGATGGAGCGTTGTCTTGCATAAAAATCAAAGTCTTCTTGAAAGATGCAGACTTTTTCCTGTACCACTGCTTGAAGAAAGTGTCTTCTAAAAATTGGCAGTAGGTCTGAGAGTTGATTTTGAGTCCATTTTCAACCCGAAAAGGTCCAACTAGCTCATCTTTAATAATACCAGCCCATACCAGTACCCCACCTCCACCTTGCTGGCGTCTGAGTCGAAGTGGAGCTCTGTGTCCGTTACTGATCAAACCATGGGCCCATCCATCTGGTCCGTCAAGAGTCACTTTCATCTCATCAGTCCACAAAACCTTTGAAAAATCTGTCTTCAGATATTTCTTGGCCCATTCTTGACGTTTCAACTTATGTGTCTTGTTCAGAGGTGGTCGGGTTTCAGCCTTTCTTACCTTGGCCATGTCTCTGAGAACTGAACACCTTGTACTTCTTGACACTCCAGGTAGGTTGCAGTTGTGGAATATGGCAGCACTGGAGGATAATGGGTTCCTGGTAGCTTCATATTTGATTCTTCTCAAATCTCTGGTGGTTAATTTGCGTCTTTTCTTCTCAACACGTTTCTGGCGACCCTGGTGACTATTTGCTATAAAATGTTTGATGGTTCTGTGATCACGCCCCAATATCTTAGATATTTCAAGAGTGCTGCATCCCTGTGAAAGACTTTTTACAATTTTTGACTTTTCAGAGTCAGTTAAATCTCTTTTTTGGCCCATTTTTCCAGAGGAGAACATTCTGCCTAATAATTATGCACACCTTGATATAGGGTGTTGATCTCCTTAGGCCACACCCTCCCTCGTTACACTAAAACACATCACCTGATATGCATTAAGTCCAATAAGCGTTCAAGTTTATACTGCTTGGAGTTGGAAATTATGGATAAAATGATGATATGGTCAAAATACTCACTTGCCTAATAATTGTGCACACAGTGTATATGAATTACACATAAATGTTACTTCCTGTTAAGGCTGCAACTAACCATTCTCCTGTTCATGAATCAATTAATCATTTAGTCTCTAGTGGGGGTAAAATGGGTAGCATTAAAAAGTACAAGAAAACTGTGCAGTGTGTACGCAACCTTATTGCAGTGTATAGTTCACAAAGTCAGTCTTGTTTTCACTGTATCTCCAACTCTCAGTTCTTTGACGTTAACAGAAAAACATGAAATTTAAAAAAGCCTCATAATTAGACTTAAAGGAGAATTCTGTGAATTTTACACAGCAGACATCTTACTAGTCAGTCTAGTCTTACTACTTAAACTGCAGATGTGGAGTTTTAAAGAACATTTATCAGCTAAGCAGATAAGTTGCATCATGGGAGTCATAGGAAGTGTAGCATACTAGGGGATAAAAATGAGAATACCTTTGACTCTGCTGCTTCAACTTATCTTGATGTACAAATGCTCTCTCACAAGCCACCAAAGTTAGTTTATTTATTTTAATTAAAGTTTGTTTCTATAAGAACAAGTATAGTACACCACAGCTTTTATAGCCCATGCTATAAGCTATAATGACCATCCTTTGATGGGTTTTTTAAATGTTCACAAATTCTGCATGAAATCAAAAAAAAAAAATCACCTAAAAATTCTATGTCAAGCATTAGATCACTCATGGCTGATCCTGTCACTAGTTCACTGCAATATCCTTTTATACATCAGTTTTACAGTTTTTCACAATTGCTAAAACAATAAACCCCATTTTCTGAATATTGTAAAATGCAGAAGAATGTAAAGAAATATATGGCCAGACCTTTATTCCATAAAAACATGTTGAGAATGTTCAGGAGGTCTTAAAAAATAAATCCATAAAAGGCCCTAGGGGACAAATTTGTCCCCAGATCACATAAGGGTGTAAAATTTTTAGCAATTCTTTTTTTTTCCACTTTAAACTAGTCAATCTTGAAAAACTACTTCTGCCTGAAAAATACATATCAAATATAAAATATATTTTGGGGATTTTTAACCCTTAATAGGCAAGTATGTTTACATAACTCCACTATTTTTTATGGGGAAAAAAAAACTAAGATATTTTTGAAAAAATACATTTACCCTATACAGAGGAAGTCTCAGAGTCCTCAGAAGAGGATGAAGCGCTGCCCTCACTCTCAGTCGCCATCACTTGT